GAACTATGTCTGGAACCCAAGGATCCTGTGGAATACCTCTTAATACTCCCATGCCAGTAATGAAGATTGATGAGAAATGTCAACAACCAAAATAAGGAAGGACAAGTAGAAATGCAGATCTTTCAGGAACGAAAGTTTGAGCCTCTCCACCAGGTAAAGAACATCAAGCAACTGAAGTTTGGGCTGAGAATGGGGGAAATATGGAATGGAAAGTAGAAGAGGGAAGCAATAGATATCAGTTACTGTCTTGTGACCAATTACATGAAAGAAGTTTGTAGTAGCTTTTAATGTTTTTTATTTGTTTGTTATATGTGTTTGTTTATTTTTATTTGCTGTTTTCTTTTTGTTTTATATGCTAGTTGTTGCAAGTTAATTTTAGTATCTAGGAAACAGAATATTCAATAGAATTGTGACTTAACTTGAAAAAATATATAACCAGCAATGAATCCAGTGAAGGTTGGGACTTCCATCTCCTCATTTTGGGAAGAGTGTGAGCATGTTCACGTCTAAGATGAATTACTGTATATTATGTAGAAATACAGGGGTTTTTTATATGTATAGGAATGCAAATGTGTGTAGAGGGTGCATTTAGGAGTTGGGTAACTAAAGGAGTGTATTGCAACAGTTATCAATTTACTGCCCTTCAGCTTTAAATTTATCCTTCATTGCCTTCTCGACAAAAATGAATACGTGCACTTCAAATATTTTTCCATTGCCAGTTGGCCAAATGTTAAGTATTTTCAACAGGGGGCGCTAAGGAGACATCGCAAAGGAGTTTTCCATTCTAGTTCCACTGCACTCAGACCCAGTACTGCACTAGTGCTCTTAGTTCCTAAAGCACCAAGCTTCTGGAATGCAAGCACAGTGTCACCCCCAGTACCTGGCTCCTGGAGCACCTATGGCTTCCCCAGAGCCCTGTTTCTGTAGCACAAATTGCTTATCCAGAACCAAGCTCTTGCAGCATGGACAGCTTCTCTAGTGTACAGCTCCTGCAGTACACTGTGGCTAGCAGCACCCATCAGCCAACGACTTCCCCTTTTTTGTAGCAGAGTACTTCTGGTGAGACTTTTCCATGAAGAATTTTTTTCAAAAGTTCTGCACAAGTCCTGGAGGGCATATTTCCAGCAAGTTCTGCTAGAATAGTACCTCAGCAGCCTCTCTGGATCTGAGTGAGCTGTGGCTGTGCCCTCTCCAGCAGGTCTGGATCACACCCTTAGTGGGGTTTCTTCTTTGGACATTCTATCTCCACCCTAGGGGTAGTGGTTGCTTCTTATATCTGCTATTCCTATATCTGTTAGAGATCTATCTACTTCTTACTAGCCCATCCCTCATTACTCCAATCTGCTATTACAGTTAGTTAATAATTCTTTATATTAAACTTTTTCCTTGCAAGTTACTCTGTGTCCTAGTAGTAATGAGCACACCAGCACCTAGATCTTGGTTTCTAAACACCACTCTACAATAAAAGGTACCAAGACTCCTTTAAAAAAATGGTTCATTTTAAGGCTGCAGCAGGAAAAATAAAAAATGAGCCTGGAGTATCTTCTAGCACTAGAAAGAAAGCACTCAAAACTGAAAGGATGAGTCATGTCAAAGGGATATAATGGGCCAGGCATGGTGGCTTATACTTGTAATCTCAGCACTTTGGGAGGCTGAGGTGGGTGGATCACCTTAGGTTAGGAGTTCAAGACCAGCCTGGGCAACATGGTGAAATCCCGTTTCTACTACAAAAATAAAAATTAGCCAGGTGTGTTGGCACATGCCTGTAAGCCCAGCTACTCAGAAGGCTGAGGAAGGAGAATTGCTTGAACTCAGGAGGCAGAGGTTGCAGAGAGCCAAGATCATGCCATTGCACTCCAGCCTGGGTGACAGAGCGAGACTCTGTCTTAGAAAAAAAAGAGGGACACCATGGTCAAAGCTGGAACAATCTGAGCAACAAAATAAATTATGTAATACTGTTTTTAACCCAAAATGTCAAATTAATATACATGAGTCCTTACTGATATAAATGTTTGAATAAATGCAGAAGAAACGAATCTTCCTTACAAAAAAATTTAAATAATATAGGTAGATATTCCTTCCTCAAAGACATAGAGCTTGTGTCCTGCCCTTTATCCCTGAAGGTAGGCTAGACTTAGTGGCTTCCTTCCACAGAACAGAGTAGAAGAAGGAGAAAATGGTAACTTTATGTAGAGAAGCCTAGCGCACTACCTTAACCAAATGATGAAGGTTAACCAAGTGATGACATCAATGAAATCACATGGATATCATGATATGATGTGAAGAGAAAGGACAATTCAACTTTGGTATTCTTTTCCAAACTCATAAGCCAAGTCTGATGATGAGAAAAACACCAGACAAACATCAATTGGAGAACATTCTATGGAATACCTGGCCAGTTCTCCTCTAGACTATCAAGGTCATGAAAACAAGGAAAGACTAAGAAACTGTCACAGACCAGAGAAGACAGAGTAGACATGACAGTGAAATGTAGTGTGTTGCCCTGAACTGGAACCTGAAAGAGAAAGAGGATGTTAGTAGAAAAACTGATAAAATCCAAATAATATCTGCAGTTGATTTAATAGTAACAAACTAATGTCAATTTCCCAGTTTTGACAAACTAATGGTTATTTAAAAGGTTAACAATGGAGGAGACTGAGTTTGAGCACACGGAATCTCTCTTTGCCACATTTCTGTAAGTCTAAAAGTGTTCCAAAATAAAACAAAATTATATTTAAAAAAATTTTAAAAATTACTGTGGTTCCTGTCTCCTGATTGGACCTTAAGAGATATAAGGAGCCAGTCTAATTATCAAGCAATTATTTTATGGATCTAATGGATACCACCAAATTGATGCATAACAATAACCAAAGAGGAGGGGACGTGGAAATAGAATCCTTAGAAATTAGGCCATTTAAATTCTGCTAAGTAATATTACTAGACCACAGATTTTGGCTCCAGAATTATCTTGTCGAGAGTGAACAAAACGATACATTTCCTGATATTCGGTTGATTGCCACAGACAAAACCCAGGCAGCAAGACCAGTATTCTGGGTTCAGCTCAGAATATCGTTTTTTTACCTGCTTAGAAAGGTACCAAAAATGGTTTTCTCGGGACACCTTTAAACATTTCAGACAAATTTTGATGTTTATTTATGCTTTTGTTCATCATAAAGCCCAAACATGAGTTGTAAAAAAGAAACTAAAAGTTGCCTCAATATCATATTTCAGTGTTAAAAGAACATCTGTTCTCAGAATTCTAGAGTCTCCATTAAACTCCAAAATAAAGGAACGGTTTATTTTCTAGAAGGTCCTAATCAGTTCTAGAGAGTCTGAAACCCATGTAGGCTTTTGTTTTGCTTACACAAACACTCGTCAGTGTGAGCCCTTAGCTCAAGGTAGCCTGCAGTTGGTAGGAGGCAAAGTATGAATACAACTGAAGTTATTCTGTAGCATTCTTGCCCTGGAATTAGTGGCAAACCACAGTTTTAAATGACTAATACACTCACTCTTCCCTATCCCACTAGTTTATAATAATGTTATTTTTCTTCAAGATGTCTAAGCACAACTGATTTTTAAACTGGAAAAGTTAATGAAAGCAACATCACATTTGAGGCCAGTCAGCCAGAAAAATGGACATGAGCCAAATCCCACGTCCCAAACATTTTGCCTCAATGGCATGTGAACATAATGCCCACTCTCCTCCTAATTTCCAACAGAAGCAAACAAAACCCTGCAAGACAATTTTCCCTTGGAATTGAGAAACCTGACAGGGGCAGAAGGACACACACACATGCATATACATGCACACACACACTCCCAGTCCGTGTTTAAGCTACAGTAAAAAGGCTCTTTCACATCAAGTGTTCTGTAAACAGAGAGCACAGGGGCTTCCCCTGGAGATGCTGCTTCAGGGAGAGTCAAGAGATCACAAGTCCAAAACAGGTAGTTCTAGCAAGATAAAAAATCATCTCCCTAATTCCAAAGTAAGCAAGTAAAAATTTTTTAAATCAGCTTATCGAAATAAGTCCATTCAGACCAATTTCAAAAGATTACTTGGTGGCAACAAAGACAAATTCGTGCTGCCATGAGAACTTGCCAATTTTTTAAAAGTATTATTTTCTTTTTTTAAAATATAGTGTTTCATGCACTACAATTTAGTTGTGCTTTAATTCCTTCTCACGTTTCTCAAGGCGAAGAAAGAAGTATAAAAGAACAGGAAGTGGACACAATTACGTGTACAGCAACAAGTTAACCAGAAGATTTAGGTTTTAACTGTGAATTTTAGAAAAGCAACTGTATTATAGGACATTCCATCATATAATCTTCATGATAATGAATATGGGATTTTAGGTATAGACTGCTTTTAGTCCAAAATACCATCATTTTATAAGTATAATTTTAACATAATGAAGACAAATTATATACTATGTTAGGATTTAACAAGTACCAAAGTGTTCATTAATTTTCATTTATTACAGATATTTCTCCCTAAAGTTACCTGAACAAGTACTCATTATTTGCATATCAGAATTCAGAGATAAAAAGATATGTTAGCATCAAAAATACCAATTTTACTTCTGAGTTAAAAACCAACAGGTGGTAAATTTTAATCACCAATAGAGTTTCTTAGAGAAATCAACAGGTAAAAACGGAAGTGAGAATACAATAGCTATGTTACCACCACTGCCTTACTGAGGTAAGGAATCTAGATTGTGGACCCTACCCTGAAAAATGCATTCACATCCACAGAAGTATGAGCTGTTGTATAATTGTTGAAATTTCCTTCTTTCCAAAAACTTTCTTTATACTCAACTAACAAATTATGTATATGTACATGTACAGATTTAAAAGAAATGGTATGACCGAGTTGAACATGGCATTCGCACTCTGCTCTGCGTAGGGATGAAGAGGAAAAGCATGGCTCAGAGTCATCTGCAGACAAGGAGGCCCCTACAGCAAAAACATCCCAAGACAGGCAACAACAGGTGGAAACTTACCACTGGAGCAGTTGGTCCCTCCCCAGCCAGGCTCACACTGACAGGTGTTTGGAGCAATGCAGCGACCATGGACACATTTATCAGCACAGTGGGCTGTCAGAGAGAAAATCAATCAAATAAAGTTGGCACAAGAAAAAAAAAGCCAACAACACAGCTGTTGCACATCCAAGTCTCAAGTATCACTTAAAAACAACATGCATGCTTGATAATTTTCTTCAATCCGTTCCTCAGCCCTCTTGCAGTCTGCTGCAGAACCAAACAATTCCCCTTCTTATTTTGGTATCACCAAATAAATCCCATCATTTCTACTGTTCTATTCTACTTCATGCTAAATTAGAAAAGACGTTTCAAGGAAAATTGCCTAATTCACTCTTTAAAAAAATTATCAATGAGTATCAAATATATCCCTTTTGTTTCAGAGGTAGCCTATGTAGAGAAACAAACCACAAAGCAAGATATCAGGGCCTCAGAGTGACAGAGTAGATGGAGAGTATTATGATTGTGTATTATGATTTTTTTTTTACATAATACATTCACCAGAAACAAGAGTCACACTTCCTTGTGAACATGTTATTCACAACTATGACAACAGAATTGCATGCTCTTTTTCTGTGGAGGAGAATATTTGAAAAATGCCACCCAGGTCTCTGGGAACAGTAAATCTCAATCCTCTCTCATTAGTAAATATCTTAGGTGTACCAAACCCTTGGAGGCAAAGGGGCATCACGGCAAACATGAGTGAATGAACAGTCTGATGATTTCCCAAATAGGCATCAAAACATGCTGTGCCAAATCTTAGCATTATCATTAATCTTGGTACCATGCACATTGGTTAAACAGTCTTTCAAATATCTGGATACAGGCATAATTTTGAGAACAACTTGAAAGGGCTTGGGGTTCAGATACTCTAAAATTTTATTTAAGGGTGGGATGAAGTGCTCTGCACTTTAAAGATGCATTTTATTACTGTGTGTCTTATTACAAAAGTAAAACAGGTTTACTGCCTAAATATATAAAACACCAATAAGTAAAATAAGCCTTATCTCCAGTAACACAAACTGGTAACATTTTTGTGCGTATAGAATCTTCGGGAATTTTTTTCCTACATAATTTTCTTCTCAAAAAAATAGAATCAACTTTTTCAATGTGCTTTTCCACCTAATATAATGGCAATAATATTTTCATGTTGTTAATATTAATATATGTGATTTATGCACTAAGGTGTATATTATATATGTGTGTATATACATGCGCGCACACACACAGTGCATATATTGTTGAACCGAAAATGACCACTTCTAAGGTCTTGATCATAAGATTTAGACATGAAGATATATAAGAGAGGGCATTTTAGATGAAGAGAAAGCAAAAGCAACAGGTAAAAAGAAAAAAAAAATGAAATAAGAAGTTCTGTTGGGACAGTGTTTGGGGCAATAGCTTTGCAAGGGAGAGAGAGAGAGAGAGAGAGAGAGAGACCCTGAAAACCAAGTTAAGGTGTTGGGGCTTTCTTTATTCTGAGAATTATTTAGGAATAGTTTAATTAAAGGTATACATTCGTTATAAGAAACCAACAGATAGAGGACACCACAATGAAATAAAGTGGCCATAAATTTTGGAAAATACAAGCTCTCTTGCTATCACCAGAATAACTCCTTAGCATTAGGCGATTTAGTGAGGAATATCAGAACTGGTGAGCTTGGGACCCTGGTCCAGGGTAAAATTTTCTAGAGTTTGAAGGAAGTGCTTAGCAACCTCATAATATTTGAGTCAGACAATTACATATTTAATTGTAATTAAAAACAGAACTTGCCTGTAACTTATGAACACTCTGCCCCTGAATTATTTTAATTTTTGCTGTGGAGTTAAGTCAGTATGTGCCAACTTCAGAGTTCAGTGTCTCCTTCCACCTCTAGGGATGTGTTTGAACTTGCAGATGTCATTAATTTGTAAGCACAAAACTCTGTACTGTTCTTTTGTTAAAATTTAGATAGGTACATACCTAAAGCCAGCAAACTACTATGCTTGAATGTGTGAAGTTCAACTAAATGCCACAGCAGGCTTGAGTCTAACAGTGTAGGGGATGCTCCGGATGCTGTATCATGCTGTGTTAAATGGCAACGGGTACAGAGGACTCTCCCCCCAGTGAGAGCTCTGGCACTCACAGTCAATATGTCAATACGAGAGGGTTTTTTCCTCTCACTTTTCTTATGTACTGATGGCTTTTATGTTTGCAACTATTCCAGTGAACAGTCTTCAGACCCAAGTTTACCAATTCTCCTTCTTCAACACATTAAAGCTACTAAAATTCTGTTTGAATATCTCCAGAAGTTTTAAAAATTAGATACTCTTTGCCTTTAATGTGAAACAAGACTTCTTTGACACTGCATTTAAAACAAAACACAGAAATCGAATGTGGTGGCTGATGACAAGAAGTATTCCCCATGTTCTTGAATTTTACATTTTTGCATTTATTTAATAGTACAGTTCTCACCAATTAACTTCACACTAAAAAAGTTATAAATATTCATTTATGTGATAAATTTATATTAATACTACTTTGTTTTTATATCTTGGGCATCTATGTAAGATTTCATTTGACAAAAGAATTAATATTGCCATTTGAGAACGTGAAAACTGCTGGGTTCCCAAAAAGCTGGATTTCATGAGAGCAACCTAAAGTTTTGTATTCATCTGGGAAGGAGCTGGCTTTGAAGGGAGAATGTTTCCAGTATTCTATGGACAGGTCTCAATTTGCTGCTCTCCCTTTCTTCTCTATCCTTTCATTTTTTTTCCACTTTTTATCTTCATTTTCACTTTTTACAACTTACTGTCTTTCCTCACAAACCACTTATTTGATATACACCATAGAAGCCTCAGATTAAAATTTGGTTTTAATTGTAGTTGTGTTGACTCTTAATCCCAGGGTGACTCCAATTGAGTTCCACCTGAGTCAACGGGTAAGAAAGGTAAGATTGAGCAAGCTACCCCAGCACTTTTCTCTAATATCAGAATAACATTTTACTAGAATGGGTAAATAAATGCATGATAAGTGAAGCATATGTTCCAGAAAAGTAAGAATCCGAATTTCATGTTTGGATCCCAATCCATTGCTTTTTATTGCTCTTATTTTGTTAACGCCAAAAAAATATGTAAATTTCTATGTGCAGAATCAAAGGAGACCTGCTTCATAATGCTTTGAGATTGCTAATCACACAATGTTTTCATGTGTGATTCCTGATACTGGAAACTTTGTGTTTTATCAAATGAATTCTCAGAAGTTCAGTCAATTATAACAAATTTTTTAAATCCATGATGATAATTTTAGAATATGGATTATTTTTATGAAAACCTCTCCAGCTATCATTTGGCCAAAGTATGAAGCAAAATGTGGATGTGTCATTAGCAGAAAACAAATTTGCCCGTAAGTTAATTAGGAATTGGAAGGGGGAATCTACTTCCCTAATGATTTCTTTTTTCTTAATTAAAGCTAAAACCAATGGAATCACCTCTGAGCACTGATTGATGCCTAAAGGCAAATAATGATCTAAATAATGAGAAATATTGTTGGAGGGGAGTCTAAAAGGAAAGAACACAAAATCCTACTTCCATGATGCAGAATCTTCACATATTAGACTCCATTATACAAGTGCCATCTCTGCTCCCTGCCCTTTTCCACCATCTCTGGGCTCCTCCCACATCCAGCAACAGGCCTCATAAAAGATGGAAAAGAGCAAAGGGAAGCAACAGAGGACAGAGTAAGCAACTCTCTACATTCTCTGATGTCCCAACTTACCAAGGTGCAGAAACACTTACTATGGCACATGCATGACACAGACGCCCACTCCACCACCAAGAGATTAGCTGAGCTCAATTACTACCTTGGTCTTACCTCCCCTATTCAGCTTCAGATGCCACTTACTCTGGGTGCTGAGCTTCCATAACTAACATGCTCCACATGAAAAACCAATGTAGGCTAAAGATATTAATTGTTCATGTAGAAAACCCCAAAGTGAACTAGAAAAGAAAGAAGGGAACAGAGGTCCACCTAGCAAATGTTCAGCAGCTGAGATATAAAGAATAGGTACAAAGGACCCATTATAAGTGTGGCTATCTATGGATGGGAATAGATATTTTATTCCCTACCCGTGTCCTTTCTTCTCATTTTTAAAAGGGCAATTAAAAATAAGATAATCCTAGCAAAGATAGTCTATCCAATATGATTTCTCCTCTGCACCCATCTGTAAGAAAATCAGTAAACATCCTACTTTGAGTTTGAATCTTTTTTAGAGGCCAAATATAAGCTGAATCTCAACCTGCACTCAGTATGCTGCTTCATACACAGCAAGCTACACGGGGCAGCCAAGACATCTTATCCCTCAAGAACTAGGAGGCAAGAGACACTAATGAGAAGAACAGGCCATGTCTTTGAAGTGAAAGCTGTGGACAGTCTGTCTGCCTGATGGACAGGTGGGCACTGACATGATGACCCTGGAATCTTCTCTAATTAGGCTCCTGTTTCAGCCTTAGTTCCTAAATCCATTTAAATCCCATTACCAATGACATGGACCTCATTCCTTTTACTTCTAAATACTTGGCTTTAATACTGAGAGCCATTAACTATGCTCAATAGTTTTCTCTTCTGCCACATACAATTCCCTTTGGATTTTCACCTAGGAATGGCAAAAAAGTGAAAGGAAGAGTAGACAAACTAAAGATTTCTTTATAAACCAATTATATCACTAAAGACAGTACATACCATTGTCTTAAATAATATATTTATTTAAATTAATATGAAAAATGTTTCCAGAATTAAAATAGTTCTTGAAATCAACTGTCCAATAGAAATGCAAAACTTCCAGCTAATCCATCCCCAAAAGTTCCTTTTTATTCTGATGTTATGACCAAAGAGTGTGAGTCACAAATCTTTTTTCTCTCATTTATTCTATGAGTTGCTACAGAGGAATATAGATTTTTAAAGTTAAAGATACCTTTATTGAGCATCATTCCTGAATTTTTCAGACAAGAAAATAGATGTAAAAAAATGGATAATTTCCCCAATATTCATAGTTGGTATCAAACACAGAAGTAGGATT